CTTCATCATCACTCGAAATCTCCCACATTATTGCTGTGTCCTCAGTAAGAAGATTTCGAAATAATTAAGCGACATGTGAAGGAATCTTTATACTTCAGTGATTTCCATGTAAACTTGAAAATATTCTTTTATGGTCTATAGTCACTGTAGGTGTAATGGAAATGGAAATATCACTTTCTGCTGAATCTGCTGGTTTATTATTCTGCATCGTTGACCTGGACTTTTAACTGATTTCAAACCTGCCGCAATGATTCGCAAATTTTGACCTTTGAGGTATAAATATTTTGTATCATATCAAGGTTTTTCATGCCACGCATTCATATTTTCGATAAAAGTGGCTTTGACTCTTTTGATCCAGGAATGTCACACTATGAGAGTAGACAAGTGAACTTTCCATCAATATGACTTCATATGGGGTGAAAATGGCAACTTTTTAAAATCATATTACTTTGGCCAGTCAAAGGTTCGCACATTCACCCTTCCTGACTTTCAAAAAAGAAAATGAAGCTGTCACAAAATAATGGAAACGTTGTCAATCAAGATCAACAACAAAAACTAGTATGTAATTGATTTTAGTAGTGAAAAGATTGGTATAATAATGAACAGAATGTTCATTTTAAACACTTTAGTTCGGTTTAAACCTTAAACAAATTATTGAGTGATACCTTGGTAGTGGACCAATCAAATAGATTTCGTGTTAATGAAAACACTATATAACGACAGAAAATTTAAGTTGTGATGTTTAGAGTTTGGGAAGGATACAAATTTCCAGAAATTTATTTTTGATTAAAGTCAACAATTTTCTAATGAAATAAAGGTAAGAATAACATTTTACACAAAATTAAGATATTGGGAGGGGGTGGGGGGAAATGGTTTGGAAAATTGGTTTTCAGATAATAAAGGTTCATGCAATATGTATAAGTTTTTGGGCACTTTTACTTATTTCAAATTTCAATAGAAACGTTCACCGTGTGATTTATAGTTTGAATCATTGTTAAACTGTTTCTTGCACTATTGTCAAATATTGACCTGTATCATAAATACAAAATGATATCCTTATTGATTATACGTTGTCTATATGAATTATTTATTTACTCATATTTATGTTATATTGTAGACATGTGAATTGTGTCTAGATGTTAAAAAAAGATTTTAGGTAACCTGGCCGGTGAAGGGGATTTTTTAACCTATGCTATTTTTTTTTTCTTGATGATGGAAAGCGGTATTAATGATTTGTCGCCACTTTGTCAGCTATGCATAGGTAGATGTCGTAGTTTGCACTTTCGATTTGAGGTCTGCATAGTTGGTTTTCTGTGACCTCATTGAGATGACAGATGTTTTTAAGCTAGTAGATGCAACTATTGAATGGTAGATTCTCGAACTATTGTTAGGTGGGAAGATGCTACTAATTCTATAGAGGGTAGGCTTCTGCACTGGTTTGAAAAATTGTGGATGATGGTACTCATTATGCAACAATCCATGTGCTACTCTTCGAGATGCTTCGCTTGTAAAGTACATTTATCGATGACGATGTGGTCATCATTGAATAAGATACATGTTCGATCTTAAGTGGACAGAATTCTCGTGAAATTGGATGTAGCTCATTAAATGACGAATGCTTGATTACTCGGGCTCTAAGACTGACTGTTGATTCGATTCGTCCTGGAGAAGGAGCTGAGTAAAATTACCACAATATTATTGCTAATATTGATTAACCAGTCTTGGAATGACAACATGTGTTTTGTTAGGAAGAGCTTTCTCTGAAATTGAGCTTTATCAGCTGGTAAAGCAAACTTTAGACGACTGTCGGTAGTTGAAAAATTCTTTGTAGTGAATGGTAAATATTGGCCTGGAAGGCTTTAACGAAAAGTCACTAAAAGTACCTGTGTTCGGGGTATGGCTGTCAGTTTTGTTTTCTCCGATACATCTCATAAACCACAATAAGCAGCCAAATATTGTGAGCTGTACATTTTAATCGAGAAACTGGCGTTTTAAATGTTAACTCGTATACAAATTATTTAAAGACAAGCACGTATTGAGGAATGAGAATTGCAATATCAAATATCCTATGACAATTTAAGTCGGCTGTTTGCACAACATTGCATAAAAATGCACATTTTGTGACGGCATTTGCGAGAATCACAGTTGGCATGAATCTATTTAGGAAGAAAAAGAACGAAGTATGTTTCTCTAAACCTGTTTAATACAAGAATTTGGGTATAATGTTGATTTGTCAACAACGTAATGTTTTCTTTCAGATTAAAAAAGTTTAAATATTACAGACAACAAGCCTTAAAGTTTTAGCAACCACGCGACATGTTAAGTCTAAATAATCAAACTATTGCTAGTGTTTAATTTCATCAGACTAAAATTGCCCATTTGACTTGATAATGTCAAGACGAAAGGCAATTTATCACGATTTCAAATATTTAACGATTATAAAAAAGAGAAGAAAAAATCAATGTATATATAAAACGCTTGTAACAACACAATTATTGTCATTGTTAAAAGTCCATCATTTACATAAACTATCTGACCGCGGAACTATCATGTGACTTTGTTGCAGTTTTGCACCAAAATTTCGAGACTTTTTTAAAAATCTTTTATGATTTTAGGCACTTGCGCCATTGTTTTTACCAATCATAACTTAGTCTCAGAAACGAGAATTATTTTAAGCTAAGACAATCAGTAATAGTGTTCACAATGTACAAAAGACCTCTGTAGAGAAATAGGAAATAAAATTACTAGTTTGAAGTATTTTTGAAGGAATTATGCGATTTTCGTACATCTCTAGTACTATTGAAGACTAATTATTTATACTCAAGACTAAAATCAAACCCCCAAAATGGCATCGGTTCCTATGATGAAAATCTCCGCTTTTCAGAGAGCGTTTATTCCAGAGTCGATTTGATGATATCAAACAAGCGGCGATTTCGAGAGTTTCAATTTGTCACAACAAAAAGTGAGCACAATACGATGGCTTTATGATTTGCTGTTGCTTGGATACAAAAACATGAATTGCTATCCGCTCAGAATCATTTGAAGGTTTTTCCTGCTACTACAAGTAGGTTTCAATAATGAAAATGTAGATACTAATCTTTAAGATGTTTTTTTTTGGCATTCAAACTACATGTATATGCAGTTTGTTCGTGTTTCTTAGTAATGATTATAAGAAATAATAAACTATTAAGTATAACATTCCTCAACATTCGACATTATACGACTTTAAATTATAACATGCACCATAAAACATCAACATAAATAAGAACTTGATAGATTAACGACAAATAAAAATATTATTGTTTGATGGACATTAGTCACAGCTTGAAAATCCACTGATATTACTTTAAGTCGCCACACATTTTACTGAATGCCTTGTTTTGAAGTTTGGACTTGTATTTTTTCAGAATGTGTTTATATCAAGTCTTATCATTGTTCTTAGTAACTATCATCAATTTCTGCAATGCCACCGATCTCTACAGACTTTTTGATGAACAGACATATACTTCATCCACACAAAACTTACGTGAGTATGTTAAATATATAGTGCCCAGTGAAACAGTAGATAATATAATTGGTAATCATATTATATTCCATGCACATGCCTTTTTCTGGAAAACTTTTCTTCGTTGCCAAACTAGGCACTGTTACAAGAGGCACTTTTCAAATATTGTGATCGACCACGTCTATCGGACCAATCGGGTTCTGAAAGCTGAAAGCAGGGTATCCATTTCGTTCCTCTAATTCCAATCCATGCACGAGACAATATTGGTATCAAAACAGATACAAGGGTTAAATATCAATAAGGAATATCTCAGTTTGATTTGCACCTCGTCTGCTTCTGCATTTACACCCAAATATAATCAAATGTGTCAATGAACAAAACTTACAATAAATGAAGATTATTAGTACCATGACATAAAACATTGTAATGTATTGTAGCAGAAGCCCCTGGAAAATGTAACTTCAGAATAGGAAATGGTAAAACACATTCTGTTAGATTATATAGAAGGTTCCAGTATCCTGATTCCAAATTTTCTTGTTTACATTTCCATTGTACGTTAAATGGTGAAGTAAAACTAATGGTTAAAGTCAGTGGTAAGTTTCATAAATGCGTTTTCATTATAGATGTAAATTTATTTACTTCAAAGTATAACGTATGGAATGGATATTTACGATATTTATGGATTGTGCTATTAGTGTAATATTTATTGAAATGGGTATATAAAGGTTTAGTTGAAATAAATTCAATATATACCAGGGTTTAATTTGAAAAATTTGAAAAGCAATTACTCACGCCAAATTTCAGTTTTTGCTAATCAAGTTAAATTTTGATTCGCATTTTTTTTGTCAGCAAAAGACTATTGATCTCGAAAGACCACTGGGTTTAGAAAGACCACTGGGGGTTGTCTATATTACTAAAAAAAATACACAAATTTAATCACAAATCTTCGTGGTGAATTATTTTGGCTTATCGAAGGAAATGTTGAAAAGCAACAAGGTATTCTATCAAAAATTGCTTAAATTGAAACCTGGTGCAGAAAACCAATATCCAGAAAAGCGTATAAGAAGTAAAAAGAAAGAGGTATAAGCGGAGAAAAGACGAAATTATAGGTAGAGAAGAACAGTAGAGACAGTGAAAAGCAATAGCGAAGGAAGAGAGATTAGAGATATATCAAGATGAAATAGGCAAAAGGGTAAAAAAGAATTGGTGAGAGGCACAGAGAATGACAGTAGGTTCCGAAGTAACCAGTCAGTGAGAGAGAGGGGGTTATTGAGGAGTAAGAAGATTATTGACAGGTGGGGTGTCGACACTGAGATTTCAAGATCCTATAGCTGGTTGTGGTGTAGGTTGTTATGAACTAATTAGTTTGCGGTGTGTATAGTTAAAAGGGTGTTCTCTTGTATTGAGAAGTACTCGTTGTACAATGCTTCAGTCTTATTCTATTGACAGTTATCAATCTGTCCTTATCAATTTTCCAGCTGCCATTTTCAGGAAAATATTATTGGATTCAAAGAAAAACTATAAGTAGCCTCAGTGGTCAAATGAAATTGCATTGAATTCCCTCCCTTGAAGTAAGACGTATATAAAACGTTTACAACAGACAGTTTGATTAGAAATTCATATAAACTTGGTAGCATAGAGGCACAGCGTGAACAATTGGACTGGGGGTATAACGTTTAAGTTTTACAGGTGATCTTTTAAACGCTCCTTCAGTGAAAAAAAATAACAGCACTAAGTTATATATGCATACGTACATGCTAAATCCATCGTTTTAGCTTAATTCGTTATATTTTAATGTTTTTAAAACATGTAAGACAAGTATTAAAACAAGTATTTCTACATCAACACGTTCACAGCATTGGTAAGCTTTAGAAAGGCTTGGATAAAAACGTTGCTTCCAGACGACACACTTTGCAGCAATTGCAAATTTGAACCTCTCATTTCCATGTCATTTCTCATCATTTCGATATCTGCCAACAATGCATCTGGAAACATATATTGCACACGACCTGTTGTTTGGTACAACTGAAACAGTTTTACCGACGATCACTTTTAATGGAGACGAAATGTTTACCGATATTATCATCCCATTGAGCTCTCATTTGACGAAATTCAAAAAGCTAAAGTAATGTTTCTCAATTTTGTGGAAATTTTGAACAAGTAACATTGTCATAAACAGGTGATGAAATGTTTATGAACCATATAGTGAGTAGTAATGAGTAAGTAGTAAACTAGATTTATATTGTATTGCTAGGATGCCTTGTTAATGATAAATGTTTAAAATTTGGTGAAACTTTTTCTGATGATCAATGTAGAACATGGACATGTGGTATAGACTACAAATTATGGTTAGATTCCCAAATCATCAAAATGGGTGTGTTTCTTGAGAGAATGGTAAGTTGAGCATTATTCAACTTTAAAATCGATTGGCCAAAATGCCACAGACAAATAACACCTTTTTCTAGAACGACTTTCTAAACCAAATGTCTTTCTTAGCATGGATTCTCGTTACTTTTGGCGGACATAATCTATTGTAGTTGATAAAAATTGAATTACATATAGAATGGAAGGCTAGATTGTCTATTCTCCTTGAGAATGGACAAACGCTGAAAACGTGACAGAATATCTTGACACTGAACTAATGTATGTAAAATGTATTACACTCGCGATGAATGAAATTCATTTCAAACCGAGTTCAGTCCAAAAACCATGTAATATTTTGGGAATTTTTTCCTTAGATACCATATAGATTTAGCCCCACCATATTATGTTCAGACTAAGACTCAAAATTACGCAGATCCTGGGTGTTTAGTTACCATCGAACAAAATACGAGATCTGGATCTGCAACTTCAGGTTTTTTACACTTTTTTACCCAATTAGGCAAGTACTTAAAGTTGATTCTATTTGATTTCAGAAAACAAAATGCTTATTGAATGATAAATGTCATGAAAGAGGAACAGTTATTGAGGATAAAACAGACTGTATAACTAAAAGATGTACCATATATGGCAGACCTTTAGATAAATGGAAATTTGGTGCCTTACAATACTGGAAGCCAATAAAAGCCGGTAGGATTAATGCCGATTGACCATCCCAGTTGTAAAAAGGCATTATATGTTCTGGTAACAAATCTTGCCCATTCCTCGGACGTGATATACAGTTGGGGTATCGGCACCAACAGGGCAAGATTTAAAAAAAAAATGGCACTTTTTATGGGAGCTGCTCTGGTTCATTTTTGTATTCGGTAGCTTTTGAGAATTTTCACTGTGACAAAAGCCATAAACATATTACCTGAAGTTCCCCACATGGTATCAAAATTCAGTCGAGGACAATGCTTCATAAAGACTAGAAAAACCATTTCATTTAAATTTCAGATTGTAAAATAGATGATACTTGTTATAAATATCAGACAGTATACAATGTGGGCTGTTCTACCTATAAATGTAACAGTAAGGTTAAACTTACTGTTAGAAAACTAAACGATGGTAGAGATGTTGTTGATTATTTAGTTGAAGGTGGTCCAGAATTTGTTAAAAACGGTAAGCCTATAATCTCTTGTCAAATGGTAGATCTCTTATTTCTTCTGAATTGCTATCTTTTTTACCCCAGTGTCAATATTCAAAGTTCACGGAGAAGGGATACGCGCTCTATTACCACCACATAAGGGAAAGTTGATTTTCAAGTCAAGCTAGGAGCTGGCATCATGTTATACAAATCCAAAATGTTATATAAGCCAATAATTGGAAATCAGAAGAGTAGATCATGTGGACGATGCCAGGTGAGCCTCTCCAGTCCACGGACTAATACAAGTCCATACAAAACCACCAAGGGCTACTAAAGTCCAAATGTTTCCTATGATATGTCTTGTAATTTAATAATGTAAAGATGAATTCTTTGTTAGGTTGTAAGCGATTTAATAGTGCCGGTTGTTTAGATGTAGGAGATCATACAAGATTTGGACAATGTATAGAATATACGTGTATGGAAAATGGAGTAAATATGTTGACGCAAGAAGGTAAATCTGAGTGATGATGTACTATATCTATATAGTACAACAGGGAACTACGGAAGATAATATCTTGCAATAGCCCATCACGTCTGAGGAACGGATATGTCGGGATAATCTTTCAAGAGGATAATTTGATTGCCTTCCTCACCCTTCAGAAATTTCTTATTCATTATTATAGCAGAGTTTTGGCTTTATTAAATGCGAGGTGTAATAACCAGGAATTAGTGTGCAATAACGCCTGTATGAAGGACGTCTGTTCAGCGATATCTCTTGACTCTTTTACCCAACAAGAACACTCTCAAACCCCAAAACTTTCGGTAGCAACCTCTGATGTCATGTTTACTGGTTAGCTATTTTTCATCATAAAACTACTGGACAATTTTATGAACTGTTTCAGGATGTCCGAATGCTTTAACTGGTGAATGTGGTCAAATTGGAGATGTTATCAACCCATTGCCTTGTATAAAACTACAGTGTCAAAAATCTGGAAATACATATTATTATAAATATGACAACGAAGGTATGATATGAGGGGACTTTATATTCTTTAAAATGTTGAAGTTCTTAAAACAATGTTTGCTAGCCTTTCAATAATATCCTCTTGTGCTACAACTGTTTGAAGCGCCCTTTGCCTAACCCAACCCTAACCCCTAACCCTATAGACATGTTATTCAGCTTGAACATTGTTCACTTTTTGAATAACAAAATCATCAGGATATAGCCTTGAAGAATGTATAGCAGTTTGAGAAGGATATTTATGGCTGTTGGTTGTAAATTTTTAAGCATAATATCAACTGTATTTTACAGGATGTTATAATGGTAGTAATTGTACAGATATTGGTTATGTAGGTTATGATCCGAAATCTGATTGTAGTAAAACATGTCAAAAAGTTGTTAAAAATGGTCTGATACAATATAAATTAGCAGGAGGTAGGAAGACTTATCTTATAAATGGTTTAAAGAACTTTCATATTCTGAAATTACGTTATGATATAAGACCTTAATGTCAGCAGGGAATTGTTATATTTTTGCTTATATGCTTAATTAGTACGATGAAAACTCCACATCATGACTGCTCTGAACTGCAATTTGCAACGTTATAGTAGCCTTGTTTTAAAAAAAAATTAAATACGTTAGACCGTTGAACCCCTGAATGCCCTGGTGCATCGTATCATAATAAAAACATAACATGCAGTAGACAGGGGTATTGATTATAATCATTATTGGTTTTCCTCTCTTTTTTTCCAGATTGTTTGACAAATATTGGTAAATGATGTTTTTATGTTAATTGTACCAAAATACGTGAATGTTATCTGTATTAACCTATTTATTATTTTGAGAAATATTATGTTTGTTGTAAATAACAAATTGTGTTCTGTTTGCAAACATGGTACTAAATGAGAGGAGAAATCTTCACAATGCAATTTGAAGAAATATTGACGTTATAATAACTTTGTTTCTAAATTTTTATTAATGCATTGACATATCCATAGTAATCATGTAGTTCTTGTGTCGTAAGGGTGGCCAGGGTGGATTAGGAAAGTTCTGAAGGACAACCGTAGACCCTATATTATATACTATATATAAATGGTGCCCAGGAGGTGAATCAATAAGAAGATGCAAACTACCCCTTAGTATGACCAAAAAATTGAAATACTCTTTGTTCATCAGTTGACTTACCTGGTGTCATAAACTATATTAGTATGTATATAATAGGTCTTGTGTGAAAGGAAAATATTCAATGAAACAATTCATATAAGGTTGGGATCATGTTTCATTACGGTAAATGGTAGAAAATTGTCTTAAGTGGAGATGGTGGTGACGAGTGGTAGCCACCTTCTCATATACATATACATTCAAGTAACCTAATTTCGTGCTAACCTATTTTTCGTGCATCTCGGAAATGATTAATAATTGACATGTGCGACATCGCGTGACCTCCTTATTTGCTTGTTTTGATAAACATGGGTTATGTGTAAGCTAGTAGAATTAATCCAGTAGTTTCAGGCAAAATAAAATGTATTAATGTATACTTTGACAAATACAAAATGGCGGATTTCAGTTATTACCAAATGTCACAATTTTTTAATCGGCCGAATTTCCTTATAATTCCAAGCTGTAATCGGAATTCCATAAGTATAGTCAGCTAGAATGTAGTCCAATGAACAAAGTCATGTGATAAACTAGCGAATTTTGTGTCAGCAGAAATTTCTATGGAACACAATGTGGGCCATATTCTTATGTTGTTTCAATGACCTTTAGCGATAAATCACGCTACGTATCTTATATTTTGTCAGTCACTATTTTTTTTAAATCATTATTCTTTGAAAGAATTGTCATTAGTTATAATGAAATATTATTAAAGATAAATACTAGGAGAAGTTAATTATACTAGGTAACCATACAATGTGTTTTTTTTTCGACCTATTTTACAGATCAAACATTGTACACGAAAACAGGTGACGCATTTAGCAGCCATTGTCAGCAGAAATTTCTATGGAACACAATGTGGGCCATATTCTTATGTTGTTTCAATGACCTTTAGCGATAAATCACGCTACGTATCTTATATTTTGTCAGTCACTATTTTTTTTAAATCATTATTCTTTGAAAGAATTGTCATTAGTTATAATGAAATATTATTAAAGATAAATACTAGGAGAAGTTAATTATACCACTGGGTAACCATACAATGTGTTTTTTTCGACCTATTTTATAGATCAAACATTGTACACGAAAATAGGTGACACATTTAGCAGCCATTGTCGAGTAGGTTACTCATGAAATATGGATCAAGGTGAAGGATTCATTAAGAAAATCGAAAATTTTTGTTTAGATTATTTTGTAGAATATCTGACATTTGACTAAATTCGATGTTGAATTCTTATACACACGAAAATAGGTTACACCACTGTAGGATTATACAGAGAGTCGACTATTGATAGAAACAGATGCCTGTGCAGCAGTCCCTTTAATCTGTCTTGCACTATGGAGGGTAATAAACCATGTACTTACTGCAAAACAAAACCCAAAATCTAAACATATTGGCGAAACATTAGAAGCAACTACTGAAGTTTTCAGGTGTAATGAGGAAGTACGTGTACATCAATCATAAGTGAGGAAGTACAGTATGTTGTAATGAAAAATGGTATCAGGTGCCCAGAACGTATAACGTCCCTGGTGCCACATCCATATGGGCAGAAAAGGTGCGTTCAGCTGTCGAAGAGCTTCCTGGTAACTTGGTAACTTTCAACTTCATCTGCATGGCTTGGTTTATCTTGCTCTTGCGAAACACAAAAGTCCTGCTGCACAGCGTACCAAAATCAAAGTCATTATTCGGACAAAAAGCTTCCAGCTATGGGCATTGATGTGATGTTGAAAAAGCCTGCATACGTGCGAATATTTCATTGACGAAAAACGACGACCATCTAGAATAGGGCCAACTTCTCAGTGGCAGATCCCTCCCACCCTCACCCTCGCAGCCCCGAAAGCAAGTTTTTCGGGCAAAAATCTCATAACTAGGTTAGAAATTTATTTTCTCAGATATCTAAAATCATAACAAAAAAGGCGCTCTGCTGTGTCATTTGTGGACGTTGCTGACGAGTGTTGAAAAAGGGAATTTTGTTGTTGTTGAGGAATTAGGTGCTATTGATTTTCCTTCGCTGGTGGAGCACGTCACTGACATTGAAAACGGGCGTATTGTGTGGCGTAAGGAACTTTGGCCATTGCGGTGACAATAGCTAGCTGTTTTAAACATACAGATGAATGCAAAAATCCTTAAAATGTGACAGCAGAAATCGACGACCCACGTTTGTGAATGAACGTGAACCTTACGAGTTAATTATGATAGGCCTATCCTATAGATGCAGATGACAGAACGATAATGGCTGAACAATCAGTGACGGCGCCAGCCTCCCGAGACTAGGTGTACAAATAGGGGCAGATTGACTTAATTGGGTTTGAAAGAATGAAGGAGACCGAGTAACTCACGCCACACCATCCAGGGCCGAGTTTCACCGCCATGTCATTCGACCCGACCAGATCTAACGAAGAATCAACAACCAAACCAACAACACCGAATCATCCAATTTGATCCAATCCAACTACCAACTACTACGACTACCAACAACTACCTAGTTTGCGATATCAGCATCCGCTGGAAGCGAACGTTAACTTGTCATCTACCAACCACCAACCTTAATTGAGTGACAAATGCAAAATAGAACAGTTCTGTGGAAGCGCCATAGATGTAGGCCTTCTACGAAGCGTCTAAGAGGGTCCCCAAGAAAATCTTATAGAATAGAATTAATTCGGGGCGTTCTGACACATATTTTGTGTCAAAAGCGTATGAAAATGATGCTTTTGAATTTGTTAGAAATTAAGTGGGTGCAATTGTGCTGTACCGGTACTGAACTGGTCCCGCCACTATCCACATTAACATGATCTCGACATTGCCTCCATAACCACAACCCGTTAATACAAAAAAATGATCTTCATATTTAAGATTTGATTCAAACACATTAAATGTCCTCGCAAATGTCCAAAGCAAATATATAATATATTTCAACACGACATTATGTCAAATAGTAACTCAATTTCTCGACACTTTAAGGCATGGTAGGGCCTACTGTTTAAATTACAAACGTTAGCTTGTTGTGGTCTGGGTGTAAAAGTTTCTACAGCGTTATCTTTCTTTACTCACTCTCTGATAAATGAAAGCATAAAAGTTCACTAGCTAATATTTTATTTTCATGCCAGAAGAAAAAAAGACGTAAAACATATATTTTATTTTACACCCGTTTTAAAACCAAATGTCATTTCATTTTGCCTTCGACGTATTCAGATCCATTTATTATTTTTGTACAAAGTCTTTTTGATATTGATTTCAGTCGCCATTTGATTTCCCGCGTTATTATTGTTTGTGTCAAGTGCTCTTTTTTCTGTTGCGAGTGTTGGTAATTCGTCCTGCTTTATATTCATAGACATTTATTTCGTTTTCCCTCTTATATTGAGATCTAAGGAAATTATATTTTATATTTTAGAAAAATTGAAAGAGTTCTTTTGTCTGCATGAGAAGAGTTGTTTGCTTTCACCAGTTGTTGTTAGAGAGTATAGTTGTTGTACAGTTGTAGAGGAGATTTGTATGTTTCCAAAAATAGAATGTTGAAATATGTCACATAAGATTTCTTCATTACTTCAATATCGGTTTGTGAAGAGAACTTCTGAACCTGATCTTACCACTGATGTTTCAGCAGATTGTGAACAAAACTCTCATATTCAAAATGGATTAGCAATATCAGAAGATAGAGGTATGATTAGTAGACTCCGTGGTCTTTTCATTTAGAACTGTGTTTTCTGATAAGTTACGAATAATAATGGTTTGTCAGTTGTATTTTCATTCAGACAGACAGACTGAAGCTAAGCCTAGTATAGAATTAGCCGACTAAAATATACAATATTAGATTTGGATTGACTAAAGGAGGCAATGACCAGCCTTTTGGTTAGCTAAGCATTAAAGTATTTGAAAAGAATGAAAAAGTTGAATGCCTTGACTATTGTCTTTTGAATAATGAACATAAAAGAAAACAGAAAGGAGAAAGTTAAATTTATCTTTGAATACTTAAACTTAGTTTTGTAAAATTTTATTTTCAGACTCTACTAAAAGTCCAACAATCATATCTGAAACATCTCTGTCTTCTACACAATCTCAGATTTTACTTGAGAATTCACCAGGGCCATTGTTATCATCACAAACTACATTATCACCTATATTTCATTCCTCAAAATATAAATCACTCAATTTAAACAACAACAACAACAACAATATGGCTACTGATTCAGATGAATTTGAATCACAAAATTCATGGTTGTCTAAGAAAAAAGGTATTAAAAATGGTGTAGACAAGACCAAAGTGAAAAAGTAAGCTCTCCTTTCTAATACTAATGGATCTTTACATATCATTATACAAGTTTAAGGACTTCATGTATGTGTAAAAATCACAAATCTGTTTATTTTGATATTTTGATATAAATGTGTAAGTTTAGTGTTTAGATATGATTTTGGGTTTTTATAATTTCAGACAGAGGAGAATTATACGTCCCCAGTCATCATCAGACAGTGAGAGTGAAGATGATAGAACTAATAATGGTACCCTAACAGATAGTCAATCTACTATTATTATTACTAGTAGCTCTAATAGTGAAGACCTTACTACATTAAAACAGATGTTCCCTACCCTGAGTGATGATAGATTATTATCTGTATTAAATAATAATGGTAATGATGTACAACAAGCTGTTAATGAGTTAATATATCCTGCCATTCCAGGTAAATGTAACAGTTATTTTCATGTTCAATTTTCTACTTTTCCATTGTATGAATTAAAATAGTTTTAACAGATCCATGTCTTCTAACCTTATTAAAATTGAAAAATATTTAATATGAGTTATTACCCTTGTTCTTGAAGACAATTTCTTAGCTTGTATTCACACTATTAGGCACAATTCTTGAGAGATTTTGACAAATCTTTGTGATAGTATTTATTATCACCCACAAATGAACCGTTTTGTAATATTTAATATGAGTTCTTGAAAACAAGTTTAATTTTTAGCATTCTTGTGTATTTTGTAAAAGCTTGGTAATATTGTTCATTTTCACCCAAAGTGTTTGATCAAAAGTTGAATATTTCATAATGGTGATTGTTACTGACTGCCAAATACTCTTATTTGAAATCAAAGCTACCAGTGGGTGTATATTATATTTCCTGGCAAGCTATCTTTTTTACTTGAAATTGGATGTTAAAAGAAGGGACATTCCTTTGTACAAAACAAGAATGTACATTTCATTTCATCCCATTATACAATTTTAGGCTCAAATTCCAAGCGTAAGGGATCAGATCTAGAGAATGATGAACCAGCTAAGAAGAAAATTAGACCAGAAGAATCTACCTCAAATACAAGTAATGGTGTTAATAGTAAAACAGATCAAGACTTATTATTTTTATATGAATCATTTCCTAATCATTCTGCAGAGGTAAAAATTGAACTTCATGCTTTAATTTCTCTCTTTCTTACAGTATTCTGTTAGTTTTTTTACCAGTTTATAATAATATTTTAATGACCATTTTTAATGCATCTTTTCATTGTTTGACTGAAGCTGCAATTCAAAGTTGAATTTGTTTTATGTTAATGATTATATTATTTGACTGATTTTCATGTCTTTCTTACAGGTTGTAAAGAAAACTTACGAAGAAAATGGAAGAACGGTAGAAACAAGTATGAAAGTTTTAAAAAGAAAAGATTCCTTGAAATCTAACTCAGTTAAAATGCAAAAGAAAGTCAAGAAAATGAAAAGTAAGACAAAACCTTCCTATGTTTATGTTATCAATAACCTAATTGTAGAAACTAGAAAAGTAGAATGTATATTTCTCTTACATTTCATATCTTTGAACTGTTTGAATCGGATACTAGTATTAAATATAATTGGAATAATATATTTAAGTAAAGCTAATTTTTCATTGTACAATATAAGGCATAATTTATTATGAATTATTTGACATTTCCAGTGAAAGATGTTGATTTTTCTGATGAAGATGGTGATTACAGTGGAGAAGATTATAATAGTGATGATAGTATGGTATGTAATAAATAACTAGTTTCCCTTACCAATTTACTATAATCACCAGATATTAATCCTTGTTTTTTATACTCAAGTTCCAAACAGCTGTTGTGGTGATGCATATCCTGAACCTGAAACAATGACTTATAACAAGAAGGCGCAGATCCATTTTCATTGTATTTCTTATTAAATTTGTAGTTAACTGCAAGCTTCCTTGATTATTTGTGCCTAAACTATTGATATCTCTTTTAGGATCCAGAAAATATTGCCCAACATGCTGATACCATATTAAAATTCTTCCAAGAAGCTAAAATAGAAGAATTAGCAACCATTCAAGGATGTTCTAGGAAGAAAGCAGAAATAGTAGCAAAACTTCGACCATTCAACTCATATGATGATTTGGTAATATTATAATATCAGATATTACTATCTGCACGCTATACCCAGTGTCATGGCCATTGTACTGTCTGTGTTTTGGATCATTAGATTATTCAATTTTTCTTGCACAGGTCATTTTTCAATTGGAATTTGGTCTTCAGAATAATAATAATAAGTCATTCTTTTGAGTTTTGTAAATGATTTTTCGATTCTATTATAATTCTAGGTGGCCAAGATAACCTCAACCAAAACATTAACATATTTTATCATACCGGGTTGTTTAGAAGTCATACATCTACAGTATGTTGTTACTAGTTTGATGGAGAAATGTGAAAGGATTGGTCAAGAAATGGAATCAGTTGTCTCAGCTTTAACAAGTAGTGAATGTCTGGAAGATAGTGAGGATAATATTACTAAGCAACCAAGTCTACTTGTTTCTTCGTAAGTATGTTTAGATAAACTAAATTGGTTGAGCATGTGATAGAGGCAACAGAATCATTCTTCTGAAGATATTTCAAATGATAACAAAAATTCAAAACAGTATTTCCAAATTGGCCTGTTCAAGTTTTTGGTACCGTACTAAAGTTTTGACAGTTAAGCACAGTATGAGCATATATTTAGTGAAAGGTATGTCTTCTGTTGAAAACAATCAAATAGGAATACTTTTGAAACTTAATAATCCATTTTATTACAGGAAGACATTAAAGAATTATCAGATGATAGGTTTAAATTGGCTACGTGTTATGCATGCTCAACATTTAAATGGAATATTAGCTGACGAAATGGTATTTATTCTTTTCTTATTTCATTTCACTTTCAATTGCTCAAATTTCTCATGAAATTCTCTTAAAAGACATTTTTCCTACCTACTATATGACAATCCAAATAACAGTACTAGCTTTAGAAATTGAAGTTGAAAACCTGATGAACTAATTCAAAGTTGATATTAACATAAAAACAAACTCTGCTCATAACTTCTTGATCCTAAGTGTACCAATTATTTACAGGGTTTAGGAAAAACAATACAGACAATAGCTTTTCTGGCACATCTTATAGAAGTTGGTGAAAGAGGTCCTCATGTTATTATTGTACCGTCTTCAACAATAGGTATGTAGATTAAATCTCTAATATTTTTTGTAAATTTTGGACTTATAAGTATTATTATCGTGACCCAAAGAAAGGCGCAGACCAGAATAGGTAATCAGAGAGCTTGCAAATGCTATGACATCAGTGGAAACATCTAACTCTGAGAGAAGCTATCATGCTGGCCCAAATGCTCTATGCATCGTCCCTTCGTAGTCAAATTTTGAAAGTCTTGAATTATAACATATTTTTGTAATATATTGCATAAGTTATCCATAGTATATACTGACAAATGCACTTGCCAAGTTGTGTTATTTTATAATTGAGATCAATATGATAATATTAATTTGGTTGTAGAGAACTGGTTAAGAGAAATGCAAGATTGGTGTCCTAGTTTAAAAATTGTTATATATTATGGTTCTCAAGATGAAAGAAGAGTAGTTAGACAGCAGGTTTTATATAGTGATACTGTAGAATATAATGTTATATTAACAACGTAAGTATCACTATAATTAGCTAAACCAATCTTTTGAAAGGGAGGATGATCGATGAAGTATGACAAAAACAACTCTAAAGGATTTTCATAGCCTGAATTAAACAGCAAAGTGAAGTAATTCTAACAAAGAATAGACAAATTCAAAAATTAAACTGCATTTAAATGCAATTTTTTTAAATTGTTGAATCACAAATCTTTACCTGTATATTTTTAAGTGATGTGTTAGTTATTGTATTTTGATAATTTAGATACAATATGGCTACAGGGAGTGTGGAAGATAGATCTTTATTTAAAAAAATGGAATTTCAGTATGCTGTATTTGATGAAGGACATATGTTAAAGAACATGTCTTCATTGAGATTTCAGAATCTGATGAGAATTCGAGTAAGTTTGAATTTTCCTTTATGTGTAAAAACTGGTGTTTGGTAGACTGATTATTTAGTATGAATTAATTGAATTAAAACAAAGAAATTCAATTGTGCCATTAATATATTTAAAATATTATCTAACAGTGTCCTGTATAAATAACAGTTACAATGCATATAGGGTTTTTCTACAATATACACAAAATACTTAAAATGAATTGACAGACAAGATAAATCATGTATTATTTCATACTGAATGTATGAAACTAGTTCATATTAAGTTTAGAAAGAAGCATGTATGGCCCAGTTGAGGAGTAACTAATAGATAATTGCCACACTTGTACTAAGGTTGTCATTATTTATTATAGGCTGGTAGAAGATTACTATTAACTGGTACACCATTACAGAATAATCTAGTAGAATTAATGTCTTTATTATGTTTTGTAATGCCTGATATATTTAGTGGTAAAACAGAATCATTGAAGAAAATATTTACTATGATGACAGTGAGTACTTTGATTATATGTTGTTCTTATTAAAAAGATAGTCATAAAATTAAAATTATTTAGACCTTACTAATGTTAATTGTTTTATTATAGAAAGTTGCTGATGAACAAGGAAAATTTGAAAAAGAGAAAATCGAACAAGCTAAGAGAATAATGAAACCATTTGTTTTACGTCGACTCAAACAAGATGTGAGTATACCAGTTTCATTCTGATTTTTAAAATGTTTATGTTAGAATTATGTTGCAGACAAAAACAAACAAAATTTTTAGGGTGTATGTTTATATTAAGTTATTAAATCTTATCTTGTTTCCTCCAACCACAAGTCTTTATAAAACTCAGCATTTATAGCTGACTTTATGGTTGTAAATTTGTAAATATTCATAAGTATTGAAAGCTATGATGTTCAATGATTTAATCAACTTTTGAGCTTCAACAGCTTCAAAAATAATTACACAAGTAACTAAAGAATATTAGGGGTAAAGATTTATCTATATTTTTACTATTAACAACCTCTATTAAATATTTATTAATCCTCTCTATTCTATATTACAGGTGTTAAGTCAGATGCCAGCAAAAGAAGAAAATGTCAATTATTGTGAAATGATTCCTGCTCAACAAGACATATATGACTTTTTAATTCAAACTTTTAATGCTGAAATAGAGAAAAAGAAAGAATATTTATCAAAAGGGGGCGGAGCCAGTATGTTTATGCAACTTCGTAAAGCTGCCAATCATCCATTATTAATTCGAAGTATTTATGATGATAAAAAACTAGCTGCTATTGCCAAGGATCTTTGTAAGGTATAGCACAATATTTTCAAAAATAAAAAAATTGAACTTGTGATATTTCAAATTGAACGAATTGTTCATACTTTTAGTTAGCTATAGATGTTATAATATTTGATAATGGAAAAAAATATCTTATTTTTACATCCATAGCAATTCTAAAGCCTACTTATACACTGCTGAAAAGTGTTGTAGATATACAATGCATCATCAGGACAGTTAATTTTCGGAAAGTTATGCTTGTGGGCAAAATCACTGAACAAGTGGCTTTACTGAGAAAATTATGCTTGCATTTTATTGTCATAGAATGAATACACATGTCCAATTTGTCTATTTACAGGAACCATCTCACAGAGACCGTGGTGCCCTACCTAAATTAATACAAGAAGATCTAGCTGTAATGCATGATTTTGAGATAAATAATGTGTGTAAACATTATAAAGTAAGTAATCATCTTTTACTTTAATATTATAGTGAATAGATTGATCTTGATAATGATAATAGAGTTATTCAAACCTTCATTTCCAGGTCTTTATGCTACAGTTTTTATTAGTTGAGTTATAAGTTATTTCTTATGTAAAATGTTTTTCTGTTAAATAATGTTTCCAGTTTGTCAACTTGTGAATACATCAGCACCTGATTATTAAACTGTAAATAATCTTGTATATTTTAAGAGTCACATTGGTAAATACATGTTAGATCCAAAAGTAATTAACGAATCTGGAAAATTTAAAGCTCTGACTAAAATGTTAGCAAAAATGAAAGAAAATGTAAGTAGATTTGATAGAACAATCAGCTTCTCTTTCACAAACCCAACCTTTAGCATTTGGTGTATAGAAGACTTGTGTGTTAGTTATTTTTATCACTTTGACAGAATGACACATTTTAGATTTAGGATTTTGTTAAAAGTTTGCAAACAGTTTTTTTGCTGAAAAGACTGTATTATGGAGCTGAAATGAAAGACTAGATAATGCAACTTGTTGATCAACTTCTAAAAGAGACTGCTGTAGTATGTTACAAATTTAAGATATATGATAATGATAAGGTTTTTGATATATCACTTATTTTAGGATGATAGAGTATTACTATTCAGTCAGTTTGTTATGGTGTTAGATATAGTAGAAGTATTTTTAAAAGATTTAGGTTATAAGTTCTTTAGACTAGATGGCAGTACCCCAGTTCCAGAAAGGTAAGTAAATTACAGGAATAATATGATTATTTATAGCCTATGTTATAGGAGTGAAACTAGTGCAATTAACATCTATATTATGAGTGAAAATGAAGCAATCAATGGAGATGTTAATAGTATTTTGACAGTTTTTGACAAGCGGGAGAGATGGTAGGAATCAAGGATCTCTTCTTTATTGAACATGTGTAACCCACACATAAATTATTGTATTCTTATTATCATAAACAATAAACCATATCTAAAATTAATGAAGAATTCAGTACATAGCAAATGATGCTTTAAAAAACTTAACATTCCATTTTTTCTTTTCAGACAAAAGTTAATAGATGATTTTAATAACGATAAGAATATATTTATATTTTTATTGTCAACTAAAGCTGGTGGATTAGGGATTAACCTAACAGCTGCTAATACAGTTATAATACATGATATAGACTTTAATCCTTATAATGATAAACAAGCTGAAGATAGATGTCATAGAATGGGGCAAACAAGGTACAGACACTTTTACATTTGGAAATTCTCACTGGTCTGCACTTTTTCAATGCCTTTAACACTTGTTTTTTTATATCAAATGGAGTGAGGCAGTATGATTTAACGAGTTAGACACTTACCTTATGTACATAGGTTTATCCTGTAATAGGTCGATATGATATTTTTGGATTTTTCGACATGGTTTCCCCATGTTAGTGATATTGATCAAAGTGGCTTATGAGAATTCGGATGGAACAATAAACTGAAGCCTTTTGTACTACAGGTTGATCTTTTAACACCTGGAAATCAAAACGAGAAGGCTAATGCCACTTTCTTGACAGAATTTATCACAATGCACACTATATAGCGTTGCTCCATAAAGTAAATTCCATTATAATTTTGAACATGCTTGTGTGATTTTCAATTTCCCATTAAATAAAGCAGTGAAATAGACTGCTATTTGAAACATACCATGATGACCCTTTATTTATTCGATAGGAAAGTAAAAATACACAGATTAATATCAAAAGGCACTGTAGAAGAAGGAATGATTAGAGTAGCTAAACAAAAATTAAAATTAGAAAAAGATGTAACAACAAGTAATCAAGGTAAGATCCTTTCTGAATTTGAAGTAAAGAATGTCTACCAAATTTTGTCAAAAATGATGAGTATTGTTCTTGATTTTTTTTCAAGTTGAGAATACAAATTATCATTAATTAATATTGCATTAAAGTTGTTATTGTTGTATCCTAGATGAAGAAGAAAATTCCAGTGATGTATTAAGTTTGTTACAAGAGGCATTACAGCGCAAAACACAATTATCTACAGAGAAAAATGGGAGCTCTTGATGAAGCCTTGGGTCTAGCCTTGGATATATATTTATACCGAGAGAAAGATAACAATGTGTAAATGACTGAAGAGTTTTATTTTGAATTTGTAAAACATGGAAAATTATTGTTTGGTACAAGGGTATACCAATTGATTTTCTGATTAGAAGTGCTATTTTCTGTTTATGATTGAAAAGGTATTTCCCCCATGAAATATAAGATATATTTTTCTGATATTGTTTAGCTGGACATTGTTAAAGTGCTAATTAGTGTGAGAAATAAACCATGATGCCTCTATGAATTGAGATCCCAGTGAAAGTCTGTTGTTTGGGTGAATATTTTAAATAAGATATTCTATTGTATATATATACTAATAAAACTGTACATACTTAATTATTGTTTGGATCTTTTTACTCATTTTACCCATTCATTATCCTTTAAAGGGACAAATGTGCTAAATTTGGGTGTTGATTCGAGACTTGAATAAAAATAATGTAAATAGTCTTCAGAAGTACTAGAAATGTCCAAAAATCTAGGAATTTCTTTTCTTTTTCTATAGATATCTTTTATATATATGGCAGTGTCTGAAGAAAAGATGGCTTGTCTTTTTAATTTCCAAACACAATAATTTAGAGCACACATGGATTTGAAGACTAAAATTTTGATGGTGAGCTATGAACACATTTACTGATGATCGGCTTATCTAAGAATTTTAAACATGGCGAATAAGAGCCAGTAGATATACCTGGTGTCATAAATAACATAACAGGATCCTTATAAAATCCGATAAATCTAAAAAACTTCGTATTCATAATTATGCAATTAACTTGAAAAACGCTTATTATCAAGATAAAGTGTTTTCAATAATAACTTATGTTTAACAATTTTACAGATTTTACAGGGATTCTGTTGTAACCTTATGACACCAGGTAAGCTAACTGATGAATATAGAACTTAAATTTTATATTCATTCTAAGACATAGTATAACTTTGAGTAAAGAAAGTATCTAATTGAAATTAGTGTAGTGCGCACACAGAGGAGAGAATTCACTGGCACCAATATATTTTGAAAATAGTGCATAGTAATGGGATTCTCATAAATATTTGAAAGGGTTCAGTTTGAATCATTTGTTTGGCAGAAAGTAATTGTAGAATTCTATTTCTTTTCAATGCCACTGCCTAATGTCAAATATATGTTTTTGTTCTACATTACATATCAAAGCAAGTTACAAGAAAGTCCATCCTACATCACAATATTATTGCCAATCCTATTTGTAAATGCTTATACATTTATTATAAAAAAAATTATATAAGAAAAGGGTATATACTCAAAATAAATGCATTCAGGATAAAATCACACAATCATAATTTTATGCCAGTGCTTTTGCTCCGAAGAGATCATTGAGATTTTATTGTCACAGTATTTCGGATTAATTTCTAATAATAGAAATAATGATGGCCACTGTCGAGTTTATCGATATGGAATATTTCACTCTACAGAGTAATAAATACAACATAAGGTAGCGTTATGTCTCTTGTGAGGTAATGTTAAACATACCCGTTTTGTTTTTTTTAAAAGACATGGTGGAATATTATTAGGCTAGTGCTACCGAAAACGTTAGGAAGGATGATAATGTAATCCGATTTACTCAGCTTTATTATGTAGCCATACGGTAGTTATTATGCCTTGCTATGAAGTGTCATCCTAGTCGAGATCAACTGGGCAGACGATAAGGTTTAGCAGACAAGTGCAAAGATCAAGGCCGCAGACGATAGCCAGCAGACAATAAGAAAATTGAACTTTTTGACTCATCCTCGCGATTTAGCCAATCATCGACAGCGACACAAGGAAAATTGCCAGGATTCCTCCAAGGGACATAAATCATATCATAACAACACATGGTGTCTGCGAACGTAAATTTTCAATAAATAACTGAATATAGAAGTAATTTTATTTTAACAAGATCAGAGAAGCTATGGGAAACGTTTATTATTCATTTATCAGGCAATCACAAGGTAGGAAGATCATCACAGACTCCTGACTTACTCTTTTTCACGATTACACAAGCCTAAGCATCATGCCTACAGACCAAAATTATAATTCCTATGGAGAAATATTATTACAATACGACAAAATAAAACAACTTCAGAACCACCCATATTACTGTTTTGCCACTTTTAAACTAGGATAAATATTAAGATAAATGAATATTCTTTAGATTCTACTAAGTGTAGTGGCTCGGAATTTCTGCTTTTAATCCGAAAACTCAACCTGGAACACCGATATTAGGGTAATGTTAAGCAGCTATAAGTCACCTTTGTCGACTTCAAAAATACTATTAACCTCGTTTTGCCACTTTTAGACTAGAATAAATATTAAGATTAATGAACATTCTTTAGATTCTACTAGGTGTAGTAGCTCGGAATTTCTGCTTTTAATCCGAAAATTCGAACTGAAACACCCCTATTAAGCTAATGTTAAGCCGCTATAAGTCACCTTTGTCGACTTCAAAAATACTATTAACCTCGTTTTGCCACTTTTAGACTAGGATAAATATTAAGATAAATGAATATTCTTTAGATGCTACTAAGTGTAGTGGCTCGGAATTTCTGCTTTTAATCCGAAAACTCGATCTGGAACACCGCTATTAGGGTAATGTAAAGCAACTATAAGTCACCTTTGTCGACTTCAAAAATACTATTAACCTCGTTTTGCCACTTTTAGACTAGGATAAATATAAAAACAAATGAATATTCTTTAGATTCTACTAAGTGTAGTAGCTCGGAATTTCTGCTTTTAATCTGAAAATTCAAACTGAAACACCACTATAAGGCTAATGTTAAGCAGCTGTAAGTCATGTTTGTGGACATCAAAATTACTACTAACCCCATTTTGCCACTTTTAGACTAGAATAAATATTAAGATTAATGAACATTCTTTAAATTCTACTAGGTGTAGTAGCTCGGAATTTCTGCTTTTAATCCGAAAGTTCGAACTGAAACACCCCTATTAGGCTAATGTTAAGCAGCTATAAGTCATGTTTGTCGACATCAAAAGTACCATTAACCCCGTTTTGCCACCTTAAGACTAGGATAAAAATTAGGATAAATGAATATTCTTTAGGTTCCACTAGGTGTAACATCTCGGAATTTCTGCTTTTAATCCGAAAACTCGACATGAAATACCCCCATTAAGCTCATTTTCACAAGTTATATATCACATTTGTCGAAACCAAACTACTATTAACCTCGTTTTGCCACTTTCAGACTAGAATAAATATTAAGATAAATGAATATTCTTTAAATTCTACTAGGTGTAGTAGCTCGGAATTTCTGCTTTTAATCCGAAAATTCGACCAGAAACACCCCCATAAGGCTAATGTTAAGCAGCTGTAAGTCATGTTTGTCGACATCAAAAATACTAATAACCTCGTTTTGCCACTTTTAGACTAGAATAAATATTAAGATAAATGAATATTCTTTAGATTCTACTAAGTGTAGTGGCTCGGAATTTCTGCTTTTAATCCGAAAACTCAACCTGGAACACCGCTATTAGGGTAATGTAAAGCAGCTATAAGTCAACTTTGTCGACTTCAAAAATACTATTAACCTCCTTTTGCCACTTTGAGACTAGGATAAATATTAAGATAAATGAATATTTTTTAGATTCCACTAAGTGTAGTTGCTCGGAATTTTTGCTTTTAATCCGAAAATACAAACTGAAACACCCCTATTAGGTTAATGTTAAGCAGCTATAAGTCATGTTTGTCGACATCAAAAATACTATTAACCTCGTTTTGCCACTTTTAGACTAGGATAAATATTAAGATAAATGAATATTCTTTAGATTCTATTAAGTGTAGTAGCTCGGAATTTCTGCTTTTAATCCGAAAATTCGAACTGAAACACCCCTATTAGGCTAATGTTAATCAGCTATAAGTCATGTTTGTCCACATCAAAATTACTACTAAACCCGTTTTGCCACTTTCAGACTAGAATAAATATTACGATAAATGAATATTCTTTAGTTTCCACTAGGTGTATCATCTCGGAATTTCTGCTTTTAATCCGAAAACTCGACCAGAAACACACCCATAAGGCCTACTTTAAGCAGCTATAAGTCATTTTCGTCGACTTCAAAAATACTATTAACCCCGTTTTGCCACTTTTAAACTAGGATAAATATTAAGATAAATGAATATTCTTTAGATTCTACTAGGTGTAACATCTCGGAATTTCTGCTTTTAATCCGAAAACTCGACCTTAAATACCCCCATTAAGCTAATTTTCACAAGTTATATATCACATTTGTCGACAGGAAACTACTATTAACCCCGTTTTGCCACTTTCAGACTAGAATAAATATTAAGATAGATGAATATTCTTTAGAGTCTACTACGGGTAGTATCTCGGAATTTCTGCTTTTAATCCGAAAACTCGACCTTGAACACCGCTACTAGGGTAATGTTAAGAAGCTATAAGTCACCTTTGTCGATTTCAAAAATACTTTTAACCTCGTTTTGCCACTTTTATAATAGGATAAATATTAAGATAAATGAATTTTCGTTAGATTCTACTAGGGGTAGTATCTCGGAATTTCTGCTTTTAATCCGAAAACTCGGCCCGAAACACCGCTATTAGTGTATTGTTAGTCGACTTTAAAACTACTATTGACCCCGTTTTGCCACTTTTAGACTAGAATAAATATTAAGATAAATGAATATTCCTTAGGTTCCACTAGGTGTAACATCTCGGAATTTCTGCCTTTTAATCTGAAAACGCG